TTATGCTCAGATCAGGTTCTGCATGCTAAACTCATAGGGGACTGATCGCGAATCACTACCGAGATATGGTGATCCTATATAACTAACGGGAGAAAATGATTGTATTTCAGACAAAATGCATCAAGGTGTTATTAAAACATGGCGCAAATATCAACGCTTTGTCGATCCAGAATTATACGCCATTACACCACGCCATAAAGCGCTACCAGAAAGACGCTGCTGCAATACTCATCCATGAAGGCGCTGACGTGAACGCGATAACAGGTCTGTAGCGGTGATGTAGTGAAATCTGACGGCCCATTTATATTTTTTATAGCTTTCCTCTTCTCTCGAAATATTTTTTTCAATTATCCCAACTTTAGAATTAGCCTTTTGTTATTTATTAAGTATCATAATTAACAATTAACGAATAATTTATTTTCCGTACAGAGGAGGAAAAATGCACCCCACTGCGCATGTGCATCCTGGCTAAAGACAAACAGACAGCCGAGCTACTGATGAAAAATGGTGCCGATCCTACTATCGAAGATGTGAACCACAAAACACCAATAAGATTGGCTTACGACGATGAAATGAAGAAGATTCTTACTAAAGACTATTCTAAGAAAGAAGGACAAAATACTTAATCATATTACTGGGACCTTTGAGAAAATGTACAAAATAAGAAAGTCATTTAAATAAACCTATGTTTTGGTCACCCTGTGTTTTTATGAGCACGTGATAATTCTATCCAATCAACGTGGTTCAGAAATCATTTAAATAATGATTGACACGTGAAGCGCGAAGTTCAAAGTTTCTTGTCTCGGCAACTGAACAGAAAAACAGCGACAAATATCCCTATTCTTTGCAGAAAGATAATCTTTATTTGTGTTTACAGAAAGGTAAGTTGTAGTAGAAACCCTATCTGTCGAATTAAACCTTGAAAAAGCTTAAGAATTACATTTCTTTCGTCAAGATAGCTCATTTTTCTTTTACATGCTGTTGTCAGCCATAGTTTGTTTGCCTGCTTTGGTATTTTTCTGAAGTTTTTTATTTCAAATCTCTATTTTAAAGTGACAGAGGAATAATTGCTATTTATTATGGCTCATTTACGATTCGAGAGTGGAATAGATGAATGTCTTAAAAACCTCGAGGCGCCAATAACGAATGGTCCACAGTTTCGTTGGCAAAGAAAACAAGAACAACAAAACAAACGCTTCCAATCCAGTGGTCCGTTTTCGCCTCTTCCAAGTAACTATGGTGCTACAACTCCATCTAAAGTTAGTCGTAAAACACCGCTAAAAAGTACCAGAACTCAGAAAACCCCGAAGAAAACCCCTAAAAAGCCTCACGACCATTCTCCTATGCAGCAGGGTGATAGATTCATACCAAATAGGTGAGTTTTAAACTTTTTTTGTAGAATAGAAACATGTTTAAATGAATAATTATATTTAATAATGATGACAATGATGATGATGATGGTGATGATGATTACAATATAAAGATTCTTAGAACGCACGGATTAATATCTATGCGCTAACAAAACTGTGGAAAATGTAAAAAGTACACAACAGATCACTGAGAAAAACGTAACAAATAATTATTAAAAAGAAAAGTCTAGTTTCAAATGCGTTTATTGTATCGGCTTTCATCATCATCATCATCTTTCATCATCATCATCATCACTATCTTCAACACCATCATTATCATTAACATTAACATCAACATCAATTTCCATATCATCTACAGCATCATCATCAACATCATCATCATTATCATTATCATCATCATAATTTATAATCATATTTCTATTTTAAAAAAAAAATTAAAGGAAAGATGTGAAAGTGTACGACATATATTCGTGAAACAATTACTAGCTAAAAACAATAGCGGTGACAACAAAGATTGTACGGAATGTGAATTCCTTTTGCTTTCTACACTGTTTGGAGTTGCTCAAGTTTTATGTATTAGTCAGTTGACGTGTGGACGATACAGGGTTCGTTTACTAAAAGATGCGTTTACGGGTCACTACTTCTACATCTTTGGTTTCGTTTCGTTTCGTTTCACGAATTTATGGCGTGCACTCTTGAGCAGCCTTTACTTTTTTCCTCTGCGCTGTCTCTTGCGCATCCATCCATGGGCGTGCACATCTTGGTTTACACTTTTCATTAATATATACTTATTTCAATAAAGTTAGTCACCAAAAACCTAGAAAGCTGTGATCGCTGAGAATCATGGGGAAATGTTTTATATCCAACAAGTAAAGCTTTTGACACAAACTGCAGCAGTTGAGGATGCTCAGAGGAGGTTAACTTGTAACTGGTAGAAGATCTCAAGTCCATCAACAGTTATCAAGCGGTTGAAACATGTAAAATGTATCTACCCATAATCCTTGTCGGTCTCAGCTKTGTAGCTTTTCAGGTGACTAACTTTATTGAAATAAGTGTATTGCTGCGCGCTGATATTTCAAATGTAAATCTTATCAACTAACTGACAATTTAATGTCCAGATCTGCTACAGATTGCGAATGGAGTCATTTTCAGTTGGTTCACGGTAACAATGATCAAGAAAATATCCTTGATGCAAAAGAAGAGGAATCTAATATTGTGGACAACCAACAGAAACCAAATGACCAATCAAAAGAATGCAGTAGTAAAATATTACATTTTAAGACTGGCGCACCGGTCAATAAGGAAGGTAGGGACCGTTGATTTACTGAGACCCCTTTCTACAGGTAGACAATTAATTACTGCGATAATTTTGAATTTGAATTACAGAACTTCCTCTCCCTCATGCTGTTTATTTGTTGTCTTATTTCCAGGATATCAGAACAACCTACGTGTTCTATACTGTCAAAGCAGGCCTACTGGTCCTAAGGCTAAGTCCACTAGACATATTCCACAAGCACCAGACAGGATATTGGATGCGCCAGAAATGCTAGATGATTATTGTAAGTTGAACTACGAATATCTCTGTAGAACTATAGATATTACTATGATATTATGAACTATTTTCAATTTCACTTCATTTGCGCTGCGCATTTTGCTACCAATATCCCTCTAAACTATGGTTAGAAGTAGATTAGCTGCAATATCCCTGAACTTTTGCGCATTTTTAAAGCGATTTTAACATTGAAAAGCATGATGTTTCGCATAAAATCTAAAGGCATGAAACGAACATTTCCACATTGCTACTTTACGCATGTAGAAACATTGAAACATTCATTTCAGATCTCAACCTGTTAGACTGGAGTAATGATAACCTGATTGGATTAGCTCTTGGAGGAGCGGTCTATATATGGAACGCTGTTTCAGGTGAAACAAGGCACTTGCTGCAAATGGAAGGCGAAGAGTATGTGTCTAGTGTATCTTGGATCAAGACTGGATCTATACTAGCAGTAGGAACATGTAATGGACAAGTACAGGTACGCCCTATATAGGAATGGTAAATGGTTTGCCGGTTGCATGTTGCATGTCACTTACCCAGTTTCAAATGTATCATATTCATGTGCAATTATGAAATAACTGTTTTAAATCTCGCGTTCTGATTGGTTTGGAGTTCGTGCTTTATGAGAGCACACTTTCAGTTTCGTCATTCCTGTAATTTGTATTATATAAAAGAAATAGAAAACTTGTTTGCTATGCTAAGAAGTGTCGGGAACGCTGCGCGTCGTGCTTCTCCTACCACTTCTCTCGTGTTCTGCCAACCCTCGCGTGTTTTATGACAGCACACAGCACGCGCGCGCGTCTTCTATTTCTTCAATAATGTCATAACAGAAGAAAATAAACAGGGAAAAATATCACCCATAGTGCAGTTCGCCCTTTGTATGCAACATGCGACATGCGACATGCAACACAACAACATGCAACCTTTTTTGAAATAGCTGTATCATACCATATGGTAGAGTGTCTACCATATATCCGTGAAAAAGTTAACTAACAAAAACATTTAAGCGCAAGAATGGTACAAGATCAACCCTTAAATTGGAATGATATTTATAGTAGAATATACAATACTTCAATGGATATGTATCTACGTATGTTTAAGTACAAAATATTATATAATATCCTATATTTAAATCGCGATTTGCACCGTTTCAAATTGATTGATTACCCCTTCTTTCTGCTCTCTTGTGCCGGAAACAATTGACCATCTCTTTGTAGAGTGTATTGAATCTAAAAACTTTTATTTTACCATCAGAGATTGGCTAGAACATTTCAATGTGCAGTTACCTGTCTCTAGTAAATTCAATATAATATTAGGAGTAGACGATATTACAATTAATTTTATAATTTTGATATATATGATGTCATTGTATAAAGCGAGAGAAAAAGGTAGTATTCCAACACTGTCATTATTTWAAAATATTTTAAMACATTATGAAAATATAGARAGSAADATAGCRAARTCAAAAAATAAGACACAAAWACATCTAAGAAAATGGGAAAAAATCATTAAGGCCTTGAAATAAGGTAAAAGGCAAGATTTTTTTTCTTTTCTTTTTCTGTTTTTCTTTTTTTCCCCTTCTTTTTCTATTATTGTCAATTTTTGTTTCTGAATCTAGTAGAGTTTTTCCGTATCCCTTGAATTTCATGTGTGAATTTCAAGGGATGGAATGTTTCATGCAAATTAAGCAAGGACATTTATTATATTCTTCATTAACTTTACGAAACTCGGTAATTGTACTTTACAAAGTTATTTTCTTGAGCGCTAGTAACTTTTTTTTGTCAGTGGTACCTAAAATCACAGCTTACAAATGTTTTATTTCTGTTAAAAACATATTAATAGCAAGTTAATTGATATGGTAATCAATAAAAACAACTGGAATTAGACTTAACATAAAATGTAACCACATATAACAAAACCACTTGAAGGCTAGTAGACAATTATAGCGAAAACTGTATCATCGTGATAATGAAAATTTTTCTTTTAATTTTAGTGAATAAGATTTGTACTTATTTGTCAATCATCCTCAAGAGGGAGCCTATGTTGATGTATACAAATGACCCTTTGACTTGAAGAAATTCCTCCCACAGAGTGATTGACTGATTTTACGTTTTTAGATAAACCATGAGTCGCGATAAAACAATTTTGGCTCCAAACAGTAACTTAATTTTTTTTTTTCAAGTGCAAGTGTTTTGCTTGTTCTCTCTCTCAAGTCAGCACTAAATTCAGCACTAATTTGAGTAGTAGAGTGGTGCACTACCTAAACGCACTGTATATATATGTACTTTCATGATGAGGAAGACGACTTGCATATAACATATGGCTATGTATCCTTCTCAGTATGTTTGTTTTGCTATCTTGATGTTATTGTATAGAACGGACTGAACCCAGGTGAATTAATGTTAATCGAAGTATTATGATCATCCGGGTGGACGTAGTCCTGAGAAGGATTGTTTGATGTGACTGACCAGGGGGGATCCAGGATTTTGTTCAGGGAGGGGTGCTCCGCACAATATTAACCCAGGGAGGGTGCACCCCTTAGAATCAAAGGCAAACAAAAAATTGGTTATCGTCGAAGTAGGAGCACAAAGTGTAATCAGGGAGGGGTGCGCACCCCCTGCACCCCTCCTCTGGATGGATCCGCCCCTGATGACGTTTCGACAACCTGAGCGGAAGTCATCTTCAGAGCAAGTGAAGAATAAAGTCAGATTGGTCATATTCATACTGCCACGATAGCAATAGCCTAATTACCTGGATTTGCGTATAATTGGCCGCATCGGTCTAATGAGTGCGAGTCGCTGTTTTGGTGTTTTGGGCAGATTTATTGTTTCTAATAAGCCTATTATACGGAGCCGGTAAGTCAAGATTGAGCGGTTTAGTGGATGTTGCTCAAACTACTAGATTTTTAGTCTATCGTATGACTAGTCTTGGTATGATGCCTGGCAAACGTTATTATATGACATAAAGAACACCAAAGTGCTGTTGAAAAACAGGATGAACATAATAACATTGCCAGGCATCATACCAAGGCTGGTCATACGATAGACTGGGAATCTAGTGAATGCCTTCCTTGGGAGCTTGTTTAGAGTGAGTGCTGCAACAACCGCAGAAAATGTCCATATATTGCTCTTAATAACGCTTTTTAACTATGAGTCCCTATACATAAGCTGGCATCCTTCGCGAGTGTGGAACTATTTACGTGGAAGCATAGATGACTTTCCAGATGTTGTTGGTATGATTGACGCTATCCACATCAATCAGCATCAACAGACCTCAAGGGAACGCGCAAAGGCTCTACTATCGCGGCGATCGCGCGTTTCATTTCGTTAACTGGCAAGTAACTGTTGACACAAATGGAATGTTACCACGAATAGGTTTCGGCAATACTTTTCTTCTACAGCTTCCTGTGAGTAGTTATCTCATGGCATGCAGATAGTGGATACCCAACAGGATATCTCCTGCTTGTGCCCTTTTCCCGAAGAGGTGGAAGACGCCTAACTGCCAACATGGAAATGTTTAATCGAGCTTTGTCCAAGCATAGAGTTAGAGCGGAACATCGGATCACTGACTTAAAAATCTGTAGATGTGTGTCGAGTAGAATTAGACACAGGCAATGGCGAATAAGTGGGGTGGCTAACTTAGTCCCCGTCCACACGTATCCGGAAATTTTTGTACCCGCAAATTATTTTTTGCGGATACGAAAATGTTTGCGTCCACACGCATCGTATCCGAATCGTTTTCACCGTCCACACGTATCCGTTTTCGTAAAATTTGCGGATACGGACACAAACATTTCCGGACACGTGTGGACGCAACCCGTATCCGCAAAARAAAATTGGCGGATACGTGTGGACGGGGCCTTCGTAACATCACCATAGCGCAACGAACACCGTTAAAATTAGATGTTAGCATACGTTAATAACTATAAGAAAGGGAAGGAATAAATCACAGAGACTAACTTGTGTGGCTGCAATAATTGGGTCCCAACCGGTTATAAGTCCAGTSATGGAAACCCACACCAACCATCTTCTTTCCTTTCAAAAGGAAACGGGAAACTGCCATAATTCATTAAGAATAAAGGGTTTTCTATGGTTTTGAAGTAAAAATGTTAATTGGTGCTACGTTCTAGTCATACTTTGAGTCCTTTACCAAATGAATTCAATGCAATTTACCGTATCAATATTACAGAGTTATATATTTATGTTCAAAATTGAAGACAAAAGAACTTCATAATTATATATCAGGCCCTGTCCACACGTWTCCGGAAATTTTTGTATCCGCAAATAWAGAAAATGTTTGCGACAGCACGCAGCGTATTCGAATCGTTTTCACCGTCCACACGTATCCGCTTTTGTAAAATTTGCAGATACGGACACAAAAATTTGCGGACACGCGTGGACGCAACCCGTAACCGTAAAAAAAATTGCGGGTACAAAAATTTGCGGATACGTGTGGACGGGGCCGCAGACAGCTAATTTGCATGAAACATTTCACCCCTTGAAATTCACACATGAAATTCATGGGATACGGAAAAACTCTAGTATATAATGTTTAATATCTCGAAAAGTAAAAACGCTGTAAGTACAGATTTTTAAAATTAAGGAAAAAACCTAGTAAATTTATGTACTTGTAATTAATTTATTTGTTTAATGATAAATAAAAATGTTAAAAAATAAAAATTAAAAAAAAACTAACAAAAATGTACAAAGTAGTGCAAAGTTTTGTAGGTCTACAGGTTACCGAGGTCAAAAGAACTTACTAATTTGTGCAAACTTGTGCATTTTCTACGGTGTTGTTTTATAGGGATATATGGTATGCACTCTACCATGTACCCGGCCTTGTAACCTGATGCAAATTGGATTTAGTTAGGATGTCAAGAAAAATGATCTTTTTACCTTGGACTTAAGCTACTGCCATGTAGCACAGACAACATATTTTGCTGCAAGTATATAGTGCAGTTTTCGTATGACTGTGAAAAAGTTCAGTGCCGTAAGCGTGACGTGCCGTGACCGTGATGCTTTCTAGAATTTTAATTCGCTGATTTTTTTCACGCTAATATGATTGGTCCTAAAGTGCCGTGATCTTGGCGTGTCCGCGCCGTGTTTATGCCGTGTTCCGGGTATTAGATTGAATGGAGAGTAAATTCTCGTGCAATGTGATTTGTCTGGCGTATCCCTTGCTGTGTCACGACCGTCTTCGTGCCGTGAACTTTTTACAGTCATACGAAAACTGCACTATGTATGCTTAATTAAGTACATTACCGGCTAACATGTTTTTTGTTTAGTTATGGGATGTCGAGGGATCAAAGTGCGTCAGGTCAATGAGTGGTCACGCATCTAGAGTTGGGGCGTTATCTTGGAACTCCTACATCTTATCAAGGTACATGTGTTAATGATCCCTCTAGTAGGGGAGGGAGGGGAGACAAGGCTAAATATGTATAATATTTTATTTTTTTGGCGTAAAGAAGGTTCATGATAATGATTTTGTGCGACCACAGTTGCACGCCTTGAGATAGTCTAGATTCACTTGAGTTTTTCAAAAACAAATTATACTTAATAATCTCATTCGTAACTGAATAACGCTGTGTCTTATGACTAAAGACTCTGAACACGTTTAGCCTCGCTCAAGAGGAAATCATTTGCAAATGTCAACTGGAATGTTAAGAATGCTCAGCTTCAACAATGCCAAAATTTTGAAATTCCTTATTAACTTATGACTTATTAACTATGACTTAAGCATGTGCAAACGAGTCTGTGGTCTTTAAAACCAGCGGTTTGCATCAAATGCGCAACTGGTGTATTCTAAGATTAAGGGGACTCGGACACAAAATTCCAAAATTTAAAAAAAAACGTGGTGTTCCAAGCTGGTTTCGTTTTCGAAATATTCAATTTTCAATATCACCATCTTGATGTTTTTTTAAAAAAAATGGCGGAAACCAAGCTTCACACAAAAATTCATAACTCAGAAATAAAACCTACGGAATAATTTTCACAGGACATCTACTTTAAACTTTGTTTTCGAAAACTAGTTTAAAGTTTTGAGAATGAGCTCAAAATTTGTATTTTGTTTGTTTAATGCGAATCGAAAATCGTACTTGAACAATGACTCAACGAGAACACGTGCAACGCTTTTTCTATAAGTTCTAACAATTACGTTGTTTTCAAACTTTGACAAAAGATTGCTTTTTATTACCTGTTGTTTTAGGAAGAAAGAAAAATATAGTCCCATGCACAATTTTAGGGTTTTGCCCTGTTGAACAGCGGTTTTGAGCAGTTTTTGTGCGCACCGTAAACTTAAATTGAATGTTAGTAGGCAGCCACTTCAACCTAGCTGATAAATAATCATATATCATTGCACATGCACAGTGGTTCTCGCAGTGGTGCCATTTACCATCATGACGTACGTGTTGCTGATCACCACGTTGGAACACTGCTGAATCACACACAAGAAGTTTGTGGGCTTAGCTGGTCACTGGACGGGAAGTTGCTGGCAAGTGGTGGTAATGATAATGTTGTCAATATTTGGCCCATGGCAACAGGCAACATAGAAACGAACACAGCTCCGCTCTTCTCGCTCAACCATCATCAAGCAGCTGTCAAGGTAACGAGAATTTGAACTCCGCGGGTTGTATGGAAACTGGAGGTACACTTTCAATTATTGCGCACTCTTCCGTCGCTTAATATCATCGATACGCAGCATCAGTAATTCTTAGATTCTTTATTTTTGTATGGATTATCGAGATATACCTTCAATGCCCAGTCTTATTACAGTATTGAAAATGTCTATCGTTTACCGCTAACAACCCAGTTACTGGATCTAATAATATAGACTTGCAAATACTTTCTGTAGGTCTAACTTACTCACGTTATCTGCATGGTCATTAATGTTCAACTTATAGGCCTTGTCATGGTGTCCATGGCAGTCGAATGTTCTAGCAAGTGGAGGGGGAACCGCTGACCGTCACATCAGATTCTGGAATGCAGCTACAGGCGCATGCCTTAATAGCGTCGACACTAAAAGTCAGGTACGACGTGGGTTTGTTCAGAATTCTCTTATTTTCATTACGGTACAAGACTTATCAGATTTTGTGTTTCCTCCTGGTTCAGGTGTGTGCAATACTATGGTCATCCGAATACAAGGAGATAATATCTGGACATGGATTCTCACAAAATCAGCTTACCATTTGGAAATACCCCTTAATGTCACGCGTCGCAGAGTTGACTGGTCATACGTCACGTGTCCTACACATGGCCATGTCACCTGATATGCAACACGTGGCTTCTGTAGCTGCTGACGAGACTCTGAGGATATGGAAATGCTTTGCGCACGTACAGAAGCAAAAGAAGGCTAGCCGTGGTGTGGAGGAATCGTCTAACCTGATGTCGAGTATGAAATTGAGATAAAAATTAGGCTGAAACCACTTTGAAAGATAGGTGGTGTACATTTTAGCCAATCTGAGGTTGAGGGAAAGATTAGGTCAAGCTGCCAGCTGATCTGACGTAGAGACGTAGAAATGACGTCAATGCAAAACTGAGGTATCATGAAGCCTGTGAAAACTGAGCAGCAAAAAAAAAAAAAAAAAAAAAAAAAAAAAAAAAAAAAAGAAAAAGAAAAAGAAAAAAACGACAAAAACAAAACAAAAAACCAGCCATTGGAATAAAGATATATAACTCATTAGTTATTGTGTTAGTTATCAACCTCTTATTAGCAACGTTATGTTATTTTCATTTGGTGGTCTGGAAATCCATCATTTCAATAGGAAAAGTGAACCTCAATTTTTGCAAATGTTCTCGATTCTGATTGGCTAAATTTGTTCTCAGATCAGCTGGTGGCATTTTGTTCTCTAAGACAGTTCAGCAGTTCCACAATGCAATGCAAAGCCAACTCGATCCAGTTTTTTTCCTCAGCCTCGGAACGGTTAATAGCAATAACTCGCAGTAATATTGGAACAAACAATAGGGTTACACAATTATCTAGAAGTTCTTTTCTCTTTTTTCATTTTCTTTTTCTGTATATATTTCGTGAAACAAATATTCTTTAGGATTATATAACATAAATAGTGTGTTTTGTACACAGCGTGACTGCATAGCGTGACTTAGTGCGCTTTTCAAGAATGCGCAATCAAAACTTCAAGTGTCGAAAAATCGGCAACTGAGTTCACCTTGTAAGAGTATCACGAAAAACTATTTGAGAATTGGAACTAGGACCGCCTTCTTTTGGGAAAGCTCTCTGTTTCTTGATGTCTATTTGTTGCATAAACTAAATGTATATTGTATTATATGATATAGTAAAGCATTCTACATCTAATCTATAAAGAGAGAATTATTTTCGTATTCAAGCAGTGAGCGCCAAAAACTATTTTCTTGAAGAAAGGCTGTTGTACAAGGCTAAGATTTTGTTATTCAGAAAGTTTAACTTGTTTGGAAGTGGAGATGACCGATGAAAGTGGAATCAAAGTGTTAACCCAAAGCAAAAATTTTATTCGAAAATAAGGTTTAGGCCTTCATTGCTTATTTCCCATATATTTTCTATAAAAAGCCTGACAAAGCAACATTCTAACACAAATGCAACAAAACATCTTTGTACAATTGAAAATACCGCTTCAAACAGGCATTTTATCATAGTACATCAGTTTCTAACTGTTTAAAAAAGGTTTTGAGTGTTAACCCAAAACGAAAATTGGGATCAAAACTCATACGAAAGTCCAGTTTTTGGCGCTTTTTGCCATTATTGCTTATTATTGAAAAACAAATTCTCGAAATAGTAAACTATTTTTCAAATTCCATACCAACAACCATTCTCTATGTCTATTTTGTTGCACATGCATTTCATTGTATATTTATATATTCATTAACTTTGTAAATACATTTGATTAAACTTGAACTACTAAACTGAACCTTAACTAACTCCTAGTGATATCTTGCTTTGAAGATTATTCTGCTAATGCGCATGCTCATAACTTTCCTTGAAAAGCCAAACAGGTGGCTGGTCACATGATCTATATAGTCTAAACAACTCTTGATGATTAACCAAGCATTTGAGCTGAAATTAAACCGAATCGAATTAAGTAAGTTGGGTGTTTGTGTAGAGCTAGGACCTCTGTGTGCGTGTATGGCTGTCATACTTTGCTCATTTATACTAGAGGGTGGTCGTCGACAACAAACTATGACCTTGCCTAACGCTTATCAGCCAGTTTTTCTTACGAAACTTTGAGCTGTTGAACATTTTACGAATCTCATTAAACTTCATCCGCCTTTCTGATCAGGGGCATCAGTCAGATCTTACTCTTTGATCTTGTTACATTTAACGATTACAGCAGTCACAAACGTAAAGGCTGGTTAATACAATACTATAGAAACATGCATGCGCTGATCACGTGGGGGTTTATCAGTAAACCAATTAAAAGTTTCTCGAAAATTGTACCGTGAATCCCCCACGAGTTTCAAATTGCTCACTAATGATTGGGAAGATGAAATCCAATAAGCCTTCACTTATCGTGTTAAGTTTGAATGAATAAAACAAAGTATTACTGAGAAGCCAATACTAGTTGATGTTTAATCTAGTTGGCTCCGTTTTGCCGGGATTCAATTAACCGATAAAAAGATTAATATTCACTAATTTAATATCTAGACTACAAATAAACTTCAATAGGTTGGTTGGTCGGAGATGCTCATAACTTTCTATCAGTCCATCTGACCATCTGTGTCAAAACCTACCCCAGATAAAAGTCTGATCAATGGATATTTCCAACAACGAACAGACCTTCCTCCTTGGAGTGTCTAATTAAACCTTTGAGAGAAAAAACTTGAGTTTTAGTCGTAAAAGTGCGAAGAAACTTGTTTAAGGTGTTGAAGAAAGAAAGGCCGAAATATTAATAAAAGTAGAACATTAACATTGACATGCCTAATTCGAGTACAGACCACCTATTGATCGTGTAACTATAGCTTTGCACCCCCCCTCGGTCACTGTCACTTCCTATCCTTCTTATTAAAAGCCCATTGCACATTTTATTTGATGAAAAAAGTGAATTCTTCTGCCATTCTATTACCAAATAAAAATATATGAATTCTCATAATAATTAATGGAAGTTGTTTGATCTACTTTAGGCGTTTCTATGTGTTGTTGTGTTGTTAATGAAAAGCTTGATGTATATACTATTAGCTCGTAACCGTGTCATGTTTTAGCACATTATTTTGACTAAATTGTCCTTGAAGATTAGAAATTAAAATTGAAATTAAATTTATGTTTTTTATTAGGACTTTGTGATTCGTGTGGCATTCGTTTATAATTCACTAACATATACACCTTCATTTACGTCGTAAAATATTATATTTTAATAAAGTAAAGAACCAAAGCTATCGAAAAAGATAACAAAAGAAGGTAGTAGATTTGATAACATTGGCAAATTAGTTTTCGACTCTGAATTTCTTCAAGCACAGCCGGTTAATTTTTAGGTGTTGCCTTAATTTAAAATTAACGTTCTTAGGAGGAAAAATCCTTTAAAAATAACCTTTCTTTTTTCTCTTGGCTCATTAACGTTTAACTTGTACATTGGCAATGAGTGAAGTCCTGGCCGTACATAGCGTAGTCTTATAAAAAAAGTCTAATCAGATTCTATAGATTATGGGGAAAAATTTAACTAGTTATTTTACCTAAAGATAAAGCAAAAACAAATGAATATCTAAATATAGTATTATCTAGATTAATCGTGACCTCAAAACTATCTGTAAAAACAAATATTTTAGCTTGAAAGGTTTCTAAAAGAAAACAAGTTTCTGCAAAATTAAATACCCCTTCTAGAAATAGTGAATGAACAAAAGGTTATTTCTTTCAGTCATCATTTATCCCCGGCATTTAATTTAGTAGTGTGAGTCTGTGCTGAATGAAAACGGCAAAACAACACAGTTAGACCTGTGGAGCACAAAACAAAGAGTAATATCAGGCAATAATTTGTTTTCAACTATGACGAGCCAATATTCTGATGTGAGTGCTGTTCTCTCATGACTGGAAAACACGTACCTTCCAGGACCCTTTCCCTAACTGCACATATTACATTTATTTCAAATGGTTTCACGGCACTATGGAATATTGAAACCAGCGTATCACTGACCAAACAGACAGGTAAAGATTTGGAGCAAAGATTAATTCATAATCCTAGGCTTGACAAAGAATTGAATCAGCCGATCTAATTATGATAGGTAATTCCCTTCATTGGCGGGTACGGCTGTAACCATCTTGATCTGTTTAGTAATGAATATTCTTATTTAGATTTTGTTTATTTGAGTGTTATTATGAAATAATCGCCGAAATCAAGTCTTTTGTGGGTCTGTATAACCTAAAAGATTGCTTGACGGTAATCAGCTTTTGACTGCTCTGAAAACTCTTCATTTTACCAATATTAACAAACAAAGACAAATACACAGAAAGGTGTATTGATGTCCAAATGAGAAAACCTTTTGATCGAGATTCAATTATCAAAGGAAAAGAGTTAATTGGGTCCTACGCGCCTGAGCTGAATAACAAAGATACCCCCACACGTTTAACCTTCTGCTCAAACCATTTCAACATTTCACTCTTTCTTTACTTTCAATAATTTTTCTAAAATTATTGATTCAATAGATTCCGAAAAACCAAGCAGTTTATCTTCCAACCTATTTGAGTTTACTTGTGGAGCTCATGTAGGTATTAATTTCTTTTGACGACAGACGATAGGTGCATTTTTAATAGTTTTTTGGATGTTCCTGCAGTGAGGAGCTTATTGAGAGCAATTTTAGTGCTATTCACTGCCAAATCAATCCCGACAATAACTGACTAGCATTCATGGATCGACTCAGTCAATCCTTGGTATTCGGCGTTTGACTGAGGCCCCTTTGACGCTAGCAAGCTTCTTTATCTATCATTTGTTAAATAGTCGTTTGAGGTCGCTATAAAACATTTATAAACTAAAACACACCTATCTCTAATCCTTTAGATTAATGAACTGATAAAAATTTCAACATCTAAATATGACGTTAATGATTAAATAGTTGTAGTGGTGTTCAGTATCAGTCAGGTCTGTTTGTCGCTGTTTTTGTCTCGCAAATATAACTCGACGAGCAACATTTTAGAACGAATGGAAACTTTAGGCAATCTGATTGGCTAATAAGAACAGCACATTGATGTGATTGGATGGATATGTGGTACCTCCAATATTAAATGTTTCAGGCGGAAAGCCCGTTAACCGTCTTCTTTATATACTGTAACAGAATAGAAGAAAGTTGCAACTGAAATCTAGCTCTTTTATCTATAACTAGTTAACCCTAGGTGAATAAATTTACGTGTTAACACATCGGTCATTATATCGCGTAAAAAATTCAATCGAATGAATGAATGACCGAATAACAAAATGTTGATAGGTAAAATTATTTATTTTTCGTTTGTCTTAATATCAATTTTAACTGGTATAACGTGGGTTAGGGTGGAAGGAAATCACTGACGCCTACAACCTTTAAATTAAGTTCTTTTATTTCTTTGTAGTTTATTTGATGCGTTCATTTTTCTTTTAACTATACGCATATATATCAAGTAAGAATATAGAATCTACGCAGTGATGAGGGAGATATGTATCAAAGTATTTACAATAATTCGTAACATTCAAGGATTATTTAGTTGGTATTGAGATAATGAACGAGGTTCATCTCGTGTTCTTTGGCTCGTAATCGTAGCGAAGCAATACTTGACACCCTGGAACCTTCCTTGTGAAGATCACCCCTCTTTAACTCTATCGTATCCACTCTAGTTTCGATGTCCGGCTCTGGACAATAACCCGGTAGTACCATACAGGACCCTACCTGGGATCCACCAGGGTATAGGCTACCTCCGATAGAACAACCACACTCGCGAAAATGACCGCTACAGGACGGTATAGCGCGGGCTAATGAAGGCGTATTGGGTTTATAGTAGGAGTATGGTGGTTGTGCGTAGTGAGAGGCAGCAAAATACGAGGTGCAAAGTTCTCTAGGTGGGGTAGAAACAGGATTGGATGGATGATAGAATGGATGGGACGGAGAAGGACCGACATCGTGGATCCATGGGTATGGCAGACCTGGGCCAACCATTCCTGGACCAAAACCACAAAGCTTCTCCCTCTTGCGCCACTTTGCTCGTCGATTTTGAAACCAGACCTGAAAAACGAATAACCAATAATCACGTATCCAATCCTTGCTATTTGTATTACATACTTTAAGGGACTTAAAAAGATCAAAATACTGATGGTTTCAACTTGGAATTTTTCTTCTTTTTTTCCCAAAGTGGACAATATTTCATAGAGGTATAATATGATATTGTTTTGTGCTGATCTATATCAAAGTCCCCCCGTTATTTCCAGTATTTTTTCAATTCAAATTAGCTCGTTAATCTAATCCCGACATACTACTGTAATCGTATTAGACGTACCTGTATTCTAGCTTCTGTTAGTCCCAGTTTCGATGCTAATTCTTCCCTAGCAAACACATCAGGATACGGTGCTTTATCGAAGGCTCTTTCCAGCTCTTCGATTTGGAACTGACTAAATGTCGTTCGGTATCTCGTTTTCTTTTTCTTCGTCGAATTATTTGCTTCTTCTGCTGAATCGAGTTCTATATTTTCTAAATTGTCTTCTTGAGAACCAGCAGAAGCAGGTCTTGATCGTTCTGACATCGGAGAACCCACTGCGCTATCTTTAGATTCTGTGACTAAAAAAACACACACACACACACACAAAATGTTAGCAAACCTAGCGTTGTCACTGTATGAGGAACGTCCCCGTAATTGTGCGGATCAATAAATGAATGAATGAAATATGTGAAAAATTCCAAGAAAAGTCTGTGATATTTTGAAATAACACTGTCACTTGTACAAAAAACCGCTTTCGACTTGTTAGATGATAATAGTGATAATATCGATAACCGGCATTTTAAAGTCCAAACCTTACATTCTCAGCGTGAATGCCTTAAAAACTGAATATAAGCACAAAATGGAGACCAGCGCTCGCAAACTTAAACAAAACTATTGATGTCTAGTTAAACTGTCAAAGAAATTCGCCATTTTGCTTCATAAAATAAGCACGCCCGATCATGCAAGTCAGTCATGAATCCTTATGGCTGTAAAGCCCTACAGTGGTGGTTTGTGGGTCGTAGCGCGGTCTAATTGAGTAGAGAACTATTAACTTCACACTGTAATTGGGTTCTTTCTCTTTGTATCATATGAAATGTTGGAAAACCGCTAAATCTTCACCAACAACTTTATAATTCTACATATCTATTAAGTGAAATTAATATAAGAAATTTAAATCTTCACTGAAATAGAAAAGCGGCTTTTATGTTGGTAAAGTCCTTAAAATTGAAACGCACGGTTGTTGGGCTTTTTGAGCCACAGAGCTATTAATAGTAGCGCTATAAAATGTGAAATACAAGATACGGTTTTTGGATTAAGTTGGCTCTAAACTACACAACAAACCTTGTTGTTTGGTCATGGTGATAGTCGAATAGGTCCAGTATATTTCTTGGTGTTTTTTTCAGTATTGTTAAATGTCTACCTTGAGCACATTGAGTCACAGTAGTCAAGGGTTCTGAATGATGCCTCTGCTGTGCAAAAAAACGGCTCATTCTTATCGCTTATAAATCCTCATTTATCAGCTCTTCTCTCACTAACACCTTGTCATAACCATTAATTATCAATCCATTTTGAACTTTTGCTCGAATCGATTAGACCTTATAGAAAATTACCTAGTGTCATTTGAGACAACTTAAGAGCCGCATTACAGCTTTTGATCAAGCCACTTTATTTGGATTTTCGATCTTTCTGTTATTTCTAAAATATTAATCGAAAAAATTTGGAAATGGTTGAGGGGAATTTATTGAGCTCAGTGTGAGTTCTACAATGGCAACCGATGAGAAAGAAAAGATGTAAATTAGTCATTGAATTGGATTCTATCTGGACCAAGATGTAAACATCTGGACTGATTGAGACACTGAACTGACTGATTGACGAGTGAGTCAGCTCCTGACTAACACAACCCTGCCAAATGATTAGCATTTCTTCTTTCAAAACAGTTGAAACAAGAAAAAATAGCAACTGCTTTTAAAGTCTTTTAAAAACCTGTTACATTCTTTTAGTCTTTTTCTTTTCTCGTTTTGTACAACATGACTTATTGTTTAAAAGGCGGAAACCTAGCGATAGAAAGATATGAAGAAAAATGTCTATCTTTGAATTTGCGACAAACACTGGAATTATACATGATGTGAGTGTTATAAGGCTAAGTACAGGGCTTCATTGGCTCAATGACGTTGAAATAAAACAGCCACTTTTAATTTTTTAGTTACTTGTGTTTTTTGGTTGGTTTTGCCCTGCTGACTGATTAGTCAGTGTTGCCAGCATTAGTTAACTTAATTCATTTTATTGTTATAACTTCATAAAGAAAGGAACTCTTATGTTAAAGAGACAACCATATCGAGAGGTTATCATGTCCTAGCGGTTAAAGTCTTTATAATATTCTACAATCGAAACAAAAATCGTTATGGGAAATGAATCAGTGGAAAACGAATGGTCATGTTTCATTTTATTTTTCTCCCCTAGACGCAAGGTTGTTTAAAACAGAAATATGTGTCTTAAGATTGGAGGGGTATTCTTGTGGTATTCAAGTTCTAAAAGTTAGCAGTTTTCAACTGCTTTTTAGCTACCTAAAGCTGCAAGTGTCCTTGCATTACCTCGATCAGGACATAATGTTACTTCTTGCTGATCCGTAAAGTTTAAAGCATTCTTGTCCTACAGAAAGTTCATTTACCTCACGTTCGGCTAGGCAGGAAGATCGATATTAGACGAGGCGTTGGCATATTAAGTTTCCACTTTGCCCCAGTAAGCGCAGAGCAGATATGATCCTTGTGCATGGTCTCATTTTTAGCATGGGTGTCTAACATTGGTATCTATGATCACTACATGAAATGATCAGTAGACTTGTAGTCTACATTCAATCTAAGTGCAAGATGGTTTCTTTTGAAAGTTTTTAATATTGTTATAGCCTACCCGGGCCGGCCAATGAATAGAATTTGATAAAGAATGCTAACAAAGTCTCTGTCATGTCATAAACAAACACTCATTCATTCAGTGAAGATTTCTTTCTCAATAGAAAACAATTTAAGAAACACGCAGTTGATCTTTTACTGAACTATCTCGCCTGATCATTTGTTTTGATTAGACTAAAACAAGCACCAAATAAAAGCCCCTAAACTGTGTGGCCTCGATCTGTCGAGCTTATATCTTAACCATAATCTGACACCATTATCGATATTACTACCAGTGATGGCATATATAGGTACTAGAGACTACAGTTCTTTACGTTAAGTTTTCTTAGTGTGCGTTTGTTAATAATTGCAGGCAGCTCTGACGCGTAAACATGACCTCGCAAATGGAGTTATTTTCAAGATGGTTGCTATAAGTCTATCTTTATCTTTCAAGAGAGAGAAATATAGCTAGTCAGTCTATCTATCTTCAGTAGAGTACCAAGAATGTGATAAGATAGCTATAATAATAAGTAGATAAGTGGCTGTATGGATAGCATACTGCCGTTAGCCGAGTGCGGCATTCGGCAGTGCCATAGAAAACAACTTCTAGTTCAAAGTGAAAAAGGAACTTACCAGGATTACAACTCTTGTTATTGTCGTCTTTTCTGTTCTGTTCTTCTGACTTATCTGTGTTATTTCGTTCATCCACTTGATCATTGACGCTCTCTTGTCGGGAAGTAGCGAGGCCCAAGATGTCACGAATGCTATGCGAAAGTGAGGTTGGCTTATTATTATTAGAGGTAGTATTCTGTACTTCTTCCTCAGCCTCCATCACTCGTATCGTACTGATCATTTACTTTAGCTAGAGCCTCTAGAACTCACTGTACGAATGTTAGCCTCCGTGTTGAAGATTATACCTCTGATAATAAGTCAAGGTTTTGTCAACCAGCCACCCTCAGATAAAACAGCCGGTCCTACCTCGATGTGAAAATGTGACCAATCAGAAGGCTTCGTTTGAAGCACACTTTATTTAGAAAACATTGACGGAACGAAAATATAATCAGAGTCTATTAACATTAATCTCTATCTAGATTAACATAACAATCTTATGGGCTTCAATAAGCACCTAATTATATGAACATTAAATACTTGGCATGAAAACGACCTAGCAAAATCGATTTGATTTGATCGGTAAGTCGTGATAGTCTTCAAGATGTATACTGGCCATTTCCTCGTTGTAACGCGCGTAATGGCAGTAAGTGATGCGAAAAAAACACTTTTACTACCGAATATCTACGCCTACAGTGACACTGGCAAGGGGCTTGAGCAAACAATGAGTCCAGAAATGAAAATTTGAAATAATGAAATTTACACATATGTGATGGGTATTAATTGATATTAATTGCCGCCAAGTTTTGCGTGTCATTTGGCTGAAATCCCTTTAATTAAGAACGTCTAGCTTACCCTGACAACCGGATCAGTACTTTGTTTCCCGAGTGATCAAGTTGAGAGACTTTCTAAGTCCAGCTACCAATGCCGATCGAGTCGGGATAAGGTTTTCTACGTACTTGGGCGTGATCTGACTAACCTCTCTAAATCCTCTCTTGACGTGGTTATTAAATCTCTCAACGGAATTATAACATTTAGAAATGACTAAGATATTTCACCGAATACAGAGAACATTAGCCTCGGGGAAACCTGCGATAGTAAAAACAGATTTTCCAACTCCTTTAAGTCAATATCAACCTAATTACGATGTGATCAGAAATCTGTCAACTTCCTCATTTCATGGCGATAAAAGAAGTGTTAAATATCCTCTCTCGGTGGAATCTTCTTTTCTACTGGTCACAACATAAACTACTTTATATCCCGAGTTAGTTCCAGTAAGGGGTTATTATTGCTATAATTATCTCAATATAAACTAGATTTTTGCGTGTTATTCGCGGTGTCTACCATTATACTATGTTATGACAATTTTAAATAGATTGCTAACGAGCTCAAATCATCCATAAACACAGTACTTCAACTGTGCGCTACAAATTAATCACTCTACTCCAAACGAATCATAATAGACTAGTCTAGCAAGCTAGCCAGGCAGCCTCACTCCTGCCGGCAGATCTTTTCGCCTTGACGCAGACAAGCCAAAGCTGCTAGGCTTATAGTATTACCCTGCGAGGTGGCTCAAAACTGGGCAATGTTTATCTAGGGTGTTTAGCTTTTTCTCTCGGTGTATTTGATGGCTTAGGTTTGATTCGGTTTGTTTGAGCCGTTAAGGAGTTATCTCAGTCCTTTCACCGACCTGTCAACCTCTATTGATATGTAATTAACCCTTTAATTAATATCATCCCTTAATTAGCAGCTTTGAAGGACCGCACAACTTAATGAGAAGAGCTTCGTCCAACACAGGAAATTATAAATAAACAAGAATCAGCTCTCTGCGGCTTTATTAGAGTGAATCCTTGTCATGGGTGAGCTGTAATGCTTTCTATTCTGTCCATACACATTCTCTTAAGCACAAACCTTGGGATCCTCTTGTCAATAAAATCAAGAGGTTAGTTGCCTTTCATAAAAACCCTCTCAATTTTACTGTTTTGAAGACAAACAGCAAACTCTATTGAAGGAAACTTCATCACTTTGGAAAGGTTTGCAATGTTTTTCGCTACTATCAGTCAATTTAGTCTGAAAATTACTATAAAGTGCTCTAAATGAAAATTTATTATTTTCATTAAGTGTATCCGTTCAAGCTTCCGTCTCTAGTCTGCTGCAAGAGAATAGCTATTGGCTTTTGTTTGGATGTGAAAGGCAGACTCGGCTCGACTAAAAAGAATTGGATTTTAATGGTGTACGGCAGTAAACTATGGTTAATTGGACTAAATTGATCTTGGCAATCAAATAACGCCCGAGTCTTAACTGGATAAAATAAGAAGTGATTAACATGTAGGCAGGCCATGCCACCATGCTATAGCACTTTCTGTGGCGAAACGTTTAGCTCAGTAACTAGTATCGTTATCTTACATACCTTCTAACATTTCATCTGCACTTAACTGCAGTAATAAGTATTGAACCGCGATAGATAACTCTCAGTGTTGAAGATTTTAAACTGACGATAAATATCACGATAAATAGACATGAAACGAGTTGCTAATTAATTTATCATTATGTATTTATCACTCGAGACACTGTGTCATAAGTTTTCTCTTGTCTTAAATGCTCTTCAAATATAGTCCTTATTACTATCATCATTATTGTTAGTTGTTAAAGTTCCGCTAACAGATAAAGATAGATACCTTGGGCTTTATGCTAACGGTGTTTACAGTTATCAATAATTTCTCTCTAGGTTTACTGGCCCCGACTGAAGGACTTTACCGTTGTCCCAAGCGTTTAAAAAAAATCTTCCACAAGATGTTTCGAGTTAATTCTTGTTTCTTTTTTTCTTCTTCTTTTCATTCATTCAGTCCACGTAGCTTTGCCCTTATTTTATGGAATGAATTATGAATCAAATCAAATCAATGCTGTCGGAAATTTGGGAACGGAACTGGGGCGAAAAAATAATCTCTTAAAGGTTTTTTCACCAATTTTGCTAAGTTGGATTTTGAGAGTGGTTGATAATGATGATTCTGAGAATCAAGTGGATTGTGATATCACTCGTGTTTGTTTTCAAAACAACCTCTTCACTTTGTAGTTTTTGTTTTTGAATGCAAAATATTTGCCAGCGGCGAAAAGCGGCGCATTTGATTCAATCATTCGACAAGACGGGATACGCATTGAAAACTGGACTGATATAACAGAACTGACTTGAGGTAATGAAAAGAATATTAGTATAGATATATGTACCTCATGATTGACAGACCAAAATACGTGTTCTGTACAAATTGAAATATATTTAGTTCATAATAGTTTCTATAGATAACTCGGCGGTATGGGACATCATATTTGAATACTTTAGAAAAACTGTTAAATAACTGATAACTTACTTAATGATTATTTACCCGCAATCAAATCCCTCCCACCTCCTCGGTTAATGGGACTGGATCCTAGAACCAGAGATATTTTTGATACGAGAGGTCTTCTTGTTTATATCGTAGTTTTCTGTTTAGTTTTTTTTTAAATCGATATCTCGGCACCCCAAGTTTTCAAAACTTAACGACGTTTCTTTCTCTTTGATATCAAAATGAATCAATATTTACAGTTCATTTATCTAGCACGAATCATGGTGGCGAGGGACTCGGCCGGGCCACGTAGAATCCCGCTGATATGTCGGCATTTGAACCCATCCCTCTTGTTATCATCTCAAGTGCTACTTTAATCCGAGACAAAACACTTTTCATTAGGTAATAATTTGGTTTCTTAGTCTTGTTCTAGTAATTACTCGAACCAATCGACTATCTAAGGAAGGGTATTTAAAACATGTAAAAGACCGACGAATATTTGGTACAGGACAGCGGAAATTTAATATTGGTCAGAAATAAGCGGTCTAATCGTTGTTTACTTTTATTCTTAATTAATAATTCTTTTTCAATAACTGTGTTTATGAGGTTCTTCTGCCGACCAAGGAAGCGGCATCAAACCCAAATAAATCTTTTTGATGAAGTTTGTACTTCGTTGGTTGCTGTGGTAATCACTCGTCATCTGAACCAACTACTCTTTCACTTTTGTGACTTTCAATTCTGCTGACCGCGCGCTCTTTCGACTCAGTTGTCGCGTATCGTTTCCGTGAAGTTTTTGTTTTTAAGTCATGATAATCGTAGCAGTCCACGACTAACCGCACGTAACCCGCACGTTCATGTCAAGCGCCCACATCATCCCTGCAGGCTGCCTTTTCGTGTTTATAATTAAGGTAGTTAGTGTATAATTATTTCACAGCTTTCAATCAAGGTCACATAAATCATTCGAGAAATCTACAAGTTATTGATATCCTGCATACGATCTATAACTACTATATTTATAGATTGACTATAGTGGTTTAAGTGATCTAATTCTGTTGAAGAATTCGCATTATCCAGCCAGTCGTCATTAATAATAAACACCAATGTGTTATTTTTTATTGAATTTTGGCAACTCAGTCTCTTCAGCATCGGTTGAAACATTCCACCAAAACCTAGCGTAGCATTTTAAAATTAAATAAAATAAAAAAGTCGTAAAAAAAATACGAAAAATACATTGATATTAAATCAGACAAATATGAAATAAAATATATACAAGAAGCTCAACACTAAGAAAGATTAGTTATCAGTTTATCGCTCTATAGTTACTTAAGCAACGAGCCAGCGCCAGGCAGAGCGGTTCTATCGTATAGCTCATCGTACAGACGATTGTCTTCGCAATGGTTTTGCTTTTGTAATGGAAATATAATCTAATTTAAGGTGACTGCCTACTTTTGGAAATTGATTTAAGCTTTTTTTAAAACTTCGATTTTCCGAATTGAAATTTAATGCTGATTCCAAATCTG